ATACCAGAGAACAGGAAGTACTCCTTTGGAGTACTCCTAAGTGACTACAGCAATTCACCTACAAGAACATGTGCTTGTTCTTAAAAATGGTTTCATAGGTGCTGACTAGCTAGACATGGAAAAACTTTGAATAAAATTACCTAATCAAGAGGCACTGCAGTTTGAGGAGTTGGAGAACTCCCATACTTACCTATCCAAAGACAAGACCAACAGAACTATAGTTTTAGGAGTCAAGCATAGAACAATGAATATACTGTATTGATTCAGTATAGTGTGTGTGTGTGTGTGTGTGTGTGTGTGTGAGATCTTTTTATTGATAAAGACTGGGCTTCAGGTCTATGAGCCAAATGGGCTTCCTTATGCTTCACCCCTGTTATAAAGACTCATGGTGCTGTAGACACTGGAAGCTCTAAAGGGCCCCAGTTCCCACCATGGGAATCGACACCTGTAAAATTGAAGACTGGGAATAGCAAAGCAAAACATAGTCTCTGCTTCTTCCAGAGCCCAAAGAGAACAGGAAGGCAGGAGGCAAAAGTTCTATTGAACAGCACTGTGATGCCTGGATCACTGACTTCAGGAGAACCTATACACATATGTGATTCATTTTTAATTCAACGCTAATGATGCACCCATGGAGCGGTTTCCTTCTACCTGCCACTTGCACTTGTACTTGCCTTCTGTGTGTCATTTCACAGAAGCTTGTGCAATAGCTAGCAAGCATACATACTATCATAGAAAATATAACTAAATTAAAACAAAGACCAAGGGAAATACAAATTAGAATATCAATGCTAGACGGCAAATCTGTGTCTCCAATCTTACAACTCCATGACACCTCATGACCAGCATTTCTGTGCTCCAACTTGCTCTCGAGCACTGACGTTCTAACTTGTATCTCCCTTGGCCTTTGACATCCAATCTAGCTCGGGCTCCTTATATGTAGAACAGTTTGCCAAGTTCACATAATCCATGAATTTTTTTGTGAGACACAATTTAAATTCATTTCTTAGCTTATTTTTCAGTTCATTAAAGATTAGGATCAATATCCTAGAAGGTGATGTCTGTTAGATAAAAATATCCTATAAGTAAAATCAAGGCAGATACAGTATTAGTGCACTGACAGGGACTGGGTGAGCACTGAGTCTTTCCCACATTCCTTCAGTAATAGTAAACACTTTATTTTCTTAGCCTTGGGTTTCTATGTGTCAAATCAAGGGGCTGGCCCACCATAGGATCACCAAGATCCCCTCTACACTGTGATTATCAGTCTAAGCTGACATGGACTGCAAGATTCTTTTTTTTTTTT